ACAAGCTGTGTAATGCCCCCTGTTAATTGTAATGCCACTGTGCATTACAACTGCAAATAATCCATAGCTGTCATTGGTTGGCCTTGTGCTGCATTCTTCTAGCGACAGCTTAAGAGCTGTCAGTAAGGGAGTGTTGATCTAGGAAAGTCCACCACCGTAACAAACTCCAAGCCACTAGCAGCAAAGCACTTCAAATGAATGGTTATAACTTCAGGCATTTTGTCAATAGAAGACTTCGTTTAGCTTCAGTGTAATGATGGCAGTTTTCACAGAAATATTTATCTTCTCCTGAAATCCTTTCCACTGAAGCAAACTGTGAAATTGCCCATCTCACGGTCTTCATTTCTGCTTTTGGTTCTGGAGAAATTTCAGAACTCTCCTCTACTTTGGAAAGCTCATCTTCTTGTACTGGTACACTGATGTCCTGGAAATCATCTCTTCTTTCTGTTCAACTTTGGCATTCCAAGCAACGAGTCTTTAATACCAGCTAACCTTGAAATAGTTTTTCCACAAGTTCAAAACCAATTTGCTCTGCATATTTGTTTATGGGCTTAACTTCATTAACATGTATGTATAGGTTTGATATTTTCTGGAGATTCAAGTCCACAATCATTAGTTGTATTATCACTTTCATACTTCCCAAAGACCTCTTCAAGATCATACTTATCTTCTTTAAATTGTCCTTTGGATCCTTGGTTTGTTGTTAGTTTCCCCAGACTACAGAATTTAGGAAGAATGCTGGGTTGCTTCGTTGCAGACTTTAACCAGTTTAACTCTTGACTTCTTTTGTGAGGGTCTTAGGCTCTCACTTTCAGAAACAAACTTGGGGATTACTTTAGGAGGACTCTCCCGTGTATCCCCAGTAGCTTTTCTTTCTGATCTAGTTTGTCTCTAGTTCTCATCCAAAGACTGGTGTTCCTTGGAAACTTTGACTTTTTTCTTCATGCTACCAAATTCAGTGTCACTTTTTCTTTTCCCATTCCTTTTTTGGAGGTTTTCCTTTATAGTCCTCAGAATCCTTCATACTGTCCATTTTCATGCTGTTAATTCTACTCTCCTCCTCTTTCTGATGAGGTTTTTCTCCTACCTTTGTAGATAATTCTGCCACATTTTTTTTACTTCTTTTCTTGGGAGTTGGCATGTTTCTTGATTATTTCCCAAAATACACTGTAATGCTTCCTGTGCATCATGCTATAGATATCTATTGTACATAGGGTTGAGTTCCCTGAGTGTGTTGAGTAGTTGTTTTGGGTGAGTAGCAAGCTCATCCGTGTGTTTCTCTGGATTTAGGAGGAAACTAGCCTGAAGATGTTCCATTGAAATGATTAAGGATTGTAAAGTGCATATGAGTTCATAACTTGTCAAAGCATCTTCTTTGCAATTTCCCTTGTCTTTTTTTTTTTTTTGGTACTGGGGATCAAACTCGGGTCCTTGTGCTTGCGAGTCAAGCAGCAGAACCACTGAGCTAAATCCCTGGCCCCCCTTGTCTTTTTGATTAGCTTCATCCTTTAGTGCCTCTTTCTTCTTTGAAATAATATTAAATAAGTTCTTCACTCCAGATTTAAAACCAGGACAAAAATATAATACCTGAAGTATACTATTAAGATGACTGTATTGCCAAGATTATTCAGTCCCACAAATGCCAGCAAGTTTTCTCTATTCTCACAGTTTATAGGTGAGGACTGTGCTGCAGGAACAACTTGGTCAATTTCTGATCCTCTGTATTCAGAAGCTTTTCCTTCATTTTCTTGAGAGTCTGTAAAATCTAAGGCTCTCTTAATTTTTCTTTTTCTGAAAAAACTTCAAGGAAAGTCTGTTTTTCTTAGATCGACTACCTCCTGAAAGCCCATTACTTTCAGTAGGTATGACACTGGGCATTTTCTTTCCAAATCCCAAGGAGCTGACAAGAATTTATAGAGGGCAGGTGTAATCAGCAATTTTATCCGGTCATGTCCCAGCCCGCTGAGTGCAAGTAGTGGAGCCCGTCCTGTCCTGACCGTCCTGTCCTGACTGGCACTCACATCCTGGGTGGCACCTGCCAGGCTGCTTGTGAGCCGCTTGGTCCCCACTCCATGCCTGCTTCCCTAATCTTTAATTTTTTCGGGGAGGCGGTAACCGGGGATTGAACTCAGGACCTTGCACTTTCGAGGCAGGTGTTGGCACCACTGAGCTAAATCCTCAACTTTTAATTTTTAAATGTCATTCTTTTTGGTATGCGTATAATGGGTTTTTACTATTTTAGCATTTGTTTTTATATAAATAAACTTGAAGGGATCTGCATATGTGTTTCACTCTGTTGCTTAACAACTACAAGTAGGTGTTGCCCTCACAAGTAGTTGTAGGGAAAGATGAAGCCCAAGATGGCTGCAGTATGGTTCAAACTGGGGGTGGGGCAATTTCCGGTGGACATTAAGTTCAAGTCACCAAGATTTCCGCTCAGGCTCACCTCATTGGTCTCAGTGTAAATAACTGGGTTGATTTTGGCTGGTGGAAATAACTCATGTAACTAAGGTCATTCCTGGCACCTAGCCACTGTTGTATAGACTCCTGTATAAAGCTGTACTCCCACAAGGGCTAATGACAGGATAGGGGCCTGAGGACTGCTATGGAGTGCATGGCTGAGGGACACCTGAGAATAAAGATGTCTCATCCAGCCCACAATTCTGCATCTCTTTGGGCTGCCTGAATCTCAAGTGAACCTCCAGTCTAAACTGGTGACAAGGCAGTAGTTTTTTTTTTTTGGTACTGGTGATCGAACTCGGGTCCTTGCGCTTGTGAGGCAGGCAGCAGCACCACTGAGCTAAATCCCCGGCCCCAAGGCAGTAGTTCTTATCTGCATCCAGTCAGTGGTAGTGGATTGATGTTCCCTTTTTTAATAGAAAGGTAACCATACAATAAATTTAGAAATTATAATAGGAAGAAAATCCAAATTGGAGGTTAGGAAAATCTTAAGATTCTGAGATACTGAAATGTGTAACTATATAGGTAAATATATAAGAGCTTGTTTTTCTGAGATATTTAAATACAGTGCTGCTTAGAAACGTAAGAGTTGACTCTTAAATCTTGCATGTAGTTACTTGTCAGTCCCTTCATTCTCAAGATTGATAGGTAACAAAAACTAACCTGTTTCAGCTGGGAATATTAATAGATAGTGCTGGGGACTGATCAGACCCTTGGATCCCTGTAGGCGAACAACGGGGAATAAAGAGAGACAGAGACAATACTCAAGGTGTAAGAGAGACCAGGAGGAGCCTGCCTCTGGCAGACAAGCTTGATAAACTCCACAGTTGATCCAGTTTTATTAGCCAGCAAGAAGCAAAGGTGGAGAGGTAGTGTACTTTTCCTGAAACAGTGACTGCAGTAAGGATGGAGCAATAAAAAATGAGGAACAGGTCCTTCTCCATACCTGGATTCCTGCATTCTTTTTGCATTGTCTTTAGCAGATATTATCTTGCTTTAGGAGTGCTGAGATTATGAGCTTTTCCCACACAGCCAGGAAACATGCAGCCTTCCACATATTTCCCCATTGCTAAAGCAGGTCATACCAGCCTCGAGACTGTGGGAGCTAAGTCACATAGCCTGGTCCCCAACAGTTCCTCACATAGCTTGGTCCCCAATAAGATCGGAATTTCCCTCAGTCACAGTTTCCTACTTTTTTTTTTGGTACCGGGGATCGAAGTTTCCTACTGTTTAAGGATGATTGTCCAGCTGTTGTGGATTCCTGCATAAGTTACTTGACCTTTCCAATATTGGAGAAAATAGGGAAAAATAAAAACTTTGAATTCAGTAGCTGTTTTGAATGATCTGTTCATCTGTATTAAATGTGTTTAATCATAGCAATATGTATTTGTGTTTCCTTTGAAAAGTAGTTCAGAAGACCCTGGGTGCCATATGGATTTTTGGACCCCTTGCAAAATTTAGAGTCCAGAGGGGCTGGCACCATGGATTGGGAATCACTGCTCAGGAGGAAGTCTTTCTTACTAGTGTGTATCAGAATTGAGGTGTAGAATTTACATAAAGACAGTGCCCTTATTTTTATTTTTATTTTTTTCCTGGTACTGGGATTGAACTCAGGAACTTGTGCTTGGGAGACAGGCATGGCATGACTGAGCTAAATCCCCAGCCCTGTCCTTATAGTACTCTTCTCTGTTTGCATCTGCCTCTGCTAAGGTGATGAGACTTCTTTTGGGGATGAACTATGAACTATATGTATTATTACTTTCATGCTGCAGTTCAGGCATTTCCCTTCCTCTTTAAAATGTAGTTTCTTATATTTTAAAAAAAATTTAAAGCAATTAGATCTTTCCTGTCCTCTCATCTCTTTAGAAATATGCCTATCCCAGAAATTAGGGAAAACTTGTTTTGTTTTTTTTTAAAGCAAAACATTTATTGGTACATTTTAGATATACATAATGATAACAGTTGTCATAGGGTGGAAAACCTATTTGATTCCTCTGAAAATTTTGGGATTTGGGGTGTATGGAATTTGATTGCTTATGCTTCATTTTTGTCTTTTAAAGGTATTTCTGTTCTCAGATATACAGAAAAGTGTATGCTCGTCTCTTAACAATAACCAATATTAACGTATTGATGTGGTAATCTCCTTAAGGCTAATTGAGACACTACTGTTAGGCTTCGTTTGTTTTAAACCACTCAATGTTAGTGTAATTTTTATGTCATTAAAAAGTCTTTATAAAATTTTGCAAATATCAGAAAATACGTAATTTATTTGACAATTTCCTATTGTTGGCTTAGTATCATAGCTGATAAATCAGGAATAATGAAGAGTTGGTGATAACTGTTGGCCCAGTGTTATGTGTAATATATCGGTAAGGGTTTCCCATTTATCTTTGAAGGGAATCACTGTTCAAATCCATTTCTAGTTTTTGTTGGCTCCACTATTTTCTCACATTAACTTGGTCCTTGGTGTATTATTCTAGCTCCATGCTTTGTTTCTCTTTCTTAAATATCCACTAATTCAGATTTAAATGCACATTTAGGATAAAGATGGAGACCGAGCGGTTCACCACGCAGCTTTTGGAGATGAAGGTGCTGTTATTGAGGTGCTGCACCGGGGCAGTGCTGATCTGAATGCGCGCAACAAGCGCCGCCAGACGCCGTTGCACATTGCAGTCAACAAAGGTCACCTGCAGGTTGTGAAGACGCTCTTGGACTTTGGTTGTCATCCCAGCCTCCAGGTACAACTCAGAGGGAAGCACTCAGTTCTGTGCTAACTAATCCTGTGTTACCATTTTTTGGGGTACTATTAATCATGATAAAAGATACTAAAGGTATAGGATGTTATAAAACTGCCAGCTTTGCTTCCTTAGAAAAAGCCTGCAAAATAGAATGTCAGTAGTTTGGGGGTAGAAATAAGGACTTCTTGCAAAAAACATTAGCTTATGCATTTATTTGGTTTTATGGATCCTGACAGTGAATTTTAGCTCAAAGAATAAGTCGTTATTACAGGCCTTTTTTGGGGGGGGGGTGGCTGGGCTGAGACAGTGTCTTGCTTTATAGTTTAGGCTGGCCTTGAACTCACTTTGTAGCCCAGATTGGCCTCAAACTCGTAGTGATCCTCCTATCTCAGCCTCCTAAACTGGGATTACAGGTGTGTGCTACCACACCCAGCTAAACCGTATTACATAATAATCACTTTATAACTGTCTACATCATTTTCATGGTTGCTTATTTTGTTTTATGGTCTTGGTCTAGGTATTAGTCTAGTCCTGGGAGGTTTTCTATTTTGGAATGTGTATGTCATTTTTAGGATTGATGTGCAAAGTGACCTAATTTTTTGAGGCTGAGAACCTAATTTTTGAAGCAAAAAAATCACCTAAGAAATCACTCTTCCTGGTCACAGTTTAGCAACTAACTAGTGTATTAAACCACACATATAAGGGGAACATGGTTTCTGTTTGTAAACTCTTTAGTTCAGTTCGAATTTGGTATGAATGCCTATTAATTTCATAGAATAGCATATGATCATAGTGCCAACTTTTGGTTCCTTTTTAGGCTATTTTCTATCATGATCTTAACAGAATAGGCTTGAAATAGCATATTTTAAAATAAAAATGGTCCTCAAAATACTATTTTAATATGTAAAAAATACCTTGTTTAAATTGGAACCTTAACACTTAAAGTAAAAGGAGGACTAAAGAGGCTGTTGCCTTGTAAATAGGTGGCAGAATTGGAGGATGGAGGGAAGGATTGAGTGTTTTAATCTTTTGTGGGGAGAGGGAGTCTTTATCTGTTGGTCTTTTTGTCTGACATGAGAGGCAGGCTACATATTGGGAGGGTAAGTTGGGGCTGAGGGAGAGGAAGGGAGGTTGAGGCTTGGAATAACCATTTTGGGGACCTGGAGGCAGAATAAACCAGGGACCTGTAGAAGAATCTTGAGAGCTCACCTCAAGTTAAAGACCACACATTTTTAGTGCCTCTAGATTCAGGAGGATAGAAGGTGGATGGTTGGGTTGAACTTGGTTAGGAATTCCTTATGCAGATGGACAAATATATGCCTGTGATGGGCATTCTTTTTCAGGAAAGGGCCAGACAGTATTGTGAGTTTTCATCTTTTCAGTCCCAGCTGTGCAGCCTCTGCCATTGTAGAATAAAGCAGCTGTAGATGATACATACATGAAAGAGCACAGCTGTGTTCCGGTAGAACTTAATTTACAAAAACAGGTGGCAAGTTGGATTTGGCAAATGTGGTATATGGCACAGGATAGGGTGCATATGACTTTCCTGAGAATCTGAGAAACTATGAATTAAGTAAGGTCTAAATTGCTCATTGATGCAGAATAGGAACTTCCTGCTAAATCAATTGATCACTGTAAAAAATAGCTTGCAAGGGCTGGGGATTTAGCTCAGTGGTTCCGCCGCCTGCCTTGCAAGCAGAAGGACCCAAGTTCAATCCCTGGTACCAAAAAAAAAAAAACAAACCAACTTGCAAAAATGGTAGACTAAGACACCTGAATTTACATTTACATTGTTTCTGCTTTGAACTAAGTAGCCACTTTTCGGCCTTTTCTTTCTTTCTTTCTTTTTTGGAGGCAGGGTCTCATGTAGTGCAGGCTGTCCCTGAACACACTGTGTAACCCAGGCTGGCCCCGAACTTTCATTGATCATCCTGCCTCTGCCTCCCAAGTGCTGGGACTACAGGCATGCACTACCATGCCTGTCTTCTGCCCTTTGAAACACTCTTAGGTTATGATTGTCACGTGTGACTCCGTAACACGTTCACCTGGGGAGCCCTGAAAGACTGCTGATGGTTACATGTTGCCCCCAGAGATTTGTTGGTCTGTAGAACAGCCTGGGTGTTAAGATTGTTTTGGTTTTGGGGAGATGGTACTGAGTGAATGCAGAGAGGGCTGAGCTATGTCCCCAGCACTTTTTATTATTTTATTTTGGGGCAGAGTCTTAGTAAGTTGTCTATGCTGATCTCTTAACTCACAATCTTCCTGCCTCAGCCTCCAGCATAGTTGGTATTGTAGGGGTGCACCACCAGGCATGGTGGTGTCAGGATTTTTAAGAGCTCTTTAGCACATTCTAATGTACAGCCAGGGTTAAAAACCACTTGACTTTTAATTCTTTGTTGAGGGACCTGAGGCTAGTATAGGCTCAAAGGAGAATTTAGGGGTATAACAGTTAGTGGTATGACTTTATTTTAGTGTGTCTAATGTTTCTACATTTTTGTATTTTATACAACAGAATACGGTCACTGATAGATCATACTCTGTTGAATATGACCTGTATCTGTTTAGTAGCTCTGTATGAGTATTATGACTAGATGTGATAATTGAATTGAAGGAGAACTAACAAAAATCTCTTTAAACTTAAAAAAGGACTCTGAAGGAGATACCCCTCTTCATGATGCCATCAGCAAGAAACGCGATGACATCCTGGCCGTCCTCCTGGAAGCTGGAGCAGACGTCACCATCACAAACAACAATGGGTTCAATGCTCTGCATCACGCCGCACTCCGGGGAAATCCCAGGTAAAATGCCACCTGTCGCTGAAGAGCCAGGGAGAAATACTGCTCTCTTGCTGCTTCTCTTCCGGCTACGGATGAAGAAATAATTTCAGTATCTTTAATATTAATTTTAGTATCTTTAATAATTTTAAAGGTCTGTGGAGGTTATGCCATCATTCAATAATTAGTTTTATAAGCATTATGAAATGATTGTTTATGTATAAATGCAGGTATAAAATACAGGAATATTGGCTTATATCTAAAGATTTAATTAAAATGCATTCCGTTTTGAAATTTTTGTTTCTTCAAGATCATTCTCAGGTTATCTTCTAATTCATGTTATCCATTTGTGTGGTAAGTAAAAAACTTGTGGCCAAATAAACATAAAGTTATCTGATTCCTTATTAATAATATAATCAGTTATATAAACTCTTAGTGTCGATGAGCTCAGTTACCATTACAGTAACAGGTGTTGCACTGAGAAAGGGCTGGCTGAGTAGAGTTTCAGAGTGGCTGCCTTGGAGAGTCACAGTATTCAGAGAGGAGCTGTGCAGTCCCCAGGAGAGGAAGTGTTTGTGTTTGTTTAAGTTTGAGATTTTCATGAACTCATGTTTTGGAACAGTGTACTTTAAGATACATTTTAGGAAATTCTGCATTAGTTGTCTGGTCTCTAGTTGAGTCAAGTTTATATGTCTTTTTTAAAAATCAATTTTATTGGTACATTTTTTTCCCCTTAAATTCTTTTATTGGTACATTTTAGGTATACAGTACATTTACATTTATCATTGGGAACTTGTACCTTTACATGATGTATCTTAGTCTTATTTTTTCCCCATTCCCCTGCCCACCCTTCACCCCCTCCACCCTTCCCTATTTACAAAGACTCTGTTTCCATTTTTTCCTTTTCTCATATTTTTTCCTTTCCCTTTTCTTTCCCCTACCCCTCCCACTTCCCCTACCCCTTTGGAGCTTTTCTTCCTGTTTCACATTATCAATTATTCATTCTAATCCTTATTTACACTTTCAGTTTCTCACACCAGAGAAACTATGGTATTTACACATGTGTGTCCTGTTCATTTCACTTAAAAGTATGGCCTCAATGTGCATCCATTTAGCTATAAATGTCTCTAGTTTGTCATTCTTTTTTTTTGGTACCGGGGATTGAACTTGGGTCCTTGTGCTTGCGCAGCAGGCGACAAAACCACTAAGCTAAATCCCTGGCCCTAGTTTGTCATTCTTTATGGCTGAGTAGTACTCCATTTTATAAAAAAAACACATCTTCTTTATCCAGTCTCCAGTTGATGGGCAATTGTTCCAAAGCTTTAGCTATTACAAACTGTGCTGCTA